ATATAGATATATATATACTTATTTACCATGTCCTTTCCATACTCATTACAGTGTATTTTTCTTCCACCAGTTACAAAATTGCAACTTACTAATAATGGAAAAAATAGAAAAAGGAAGCCAACATCATTAGGCTCTAAAGCCAACAAAACAAAAATCAGAGCATAATGATGCCCCTAAATGAAAGGGAAATGTAGCTCAGCTCGTTTTATTAATCAGACTGTCAATTTCACCCCAGAGGCCAAACCCCACAGCAATTGAAGCAAGATCTGATCAAGAGCGTAACAGTTCATTCCTTGTCTCTCTCTCTCTACCTGGATATATTTGTCTGCTCAGAACCCGCCTTCACTGCCAAGTGACAGAAGCCTATATTTATTTGCTTATAAAACTGTTACAATAAATGATTATTCAAACGGCGTCATTCATACCTTAATGACGAGCCCTAGTTTTTGATGAATGACATTTCTGGCTGGGAAGGATGTATGGGTCATTTTGACCAGTCATTCCATCGCTTTGGCATCCTACAATTTGTACGCAAGGCGAAAAAAGAAGATAATATTTAGAGACACTGCCAGGCTGCATCTGAATTGGCCCCTGCTGCAGGCACATCATCATTACTACAGCACCAACCCTTTCACTTTGACTTTTTTTTTTCTCTCTTCACAAAGCTGAGATGATGGAAAGGATAAGAAAAGAGATGATTCTCATGGAAAGAGGTCTGCACAGCCCAACCACAGGCAAAAGGCTTTCTAATTTATCCGACTCAGCTGGGAATGCAGTGTTGGAGGCCTTGGAAAATGCACATCACACTGCCCGCATGAGTCCCAGGCTAACTTCTTCCTCCATGCATGGATCTATAGGGGACGTACCCAGCAAAGGCAAATTTGAAATAGACACTTTGTTCGGCATCTCTCACTCCAACGTTGAAACTAACAACACTTCGGACGTCTCCGGGTCTGACAGGGTGAAGAAGATAAGCCAGTATTCAGAAGTTGCTTCAGAAGCAGATATGAACAGTGATGTGGAAGTGGGGTGCTCAGCCCTGCGGTCCCCCAGCAGCATGAGTGGCACCCATCTGAAAGACACCCTCAGCAAAGGTAACTGCAAATTCATAACATACTATAATATATATAGCACAGAGAACACAGCTCTTACCTAGCACTATTTATAAAAGTGTCCCTCTCAGCATTACAGCCTTTAAAAAAAAAATGCCATAATATTACTTGATTTACTGAACATAGTTTTCTTATTTTAGGAAAATGCACTATTCAAAAGTGCTTATGAATGCTTTGAATCATGCAAAAAATAAGAATACTACAACACTCTAAAAAGCAGAAACTCCAATAAACATTAAAAATAATAAAATAGTAAATATTTTCCAATAACGAGTGATAACTACATTTTCTTCAACCTTAGCGTTATTAGACCCACGCTTTTGTTGCTAAAACAAATAATAAAACATATATGTTAAAAGCTCAGCTGAGAAACTAGGTACACTATTATTTGTATTATTATTGTTATTATTACTAAGTTTATTTTACAGAATTGAAGAGTAAACTAGATACATAACCTTTAATATTTTGTATCGATTGTTTTTAATTTCCAATAGCAATCAAATGACACAACACCAGGCAGGTTTAACAATATTACATCTCTATATGCATTACATTACACTTTTTCTAATTAAACGTGTTTTTTTTATTTATTTGTATTGTTCAGAACTCCATGTCCCCCTATTAGTGTTTTTCCACATGTAACCATAAATATACATCTGGACATCTCTCGTTTAATATCTCCTACCTTAAAACGCACACAGCAAAAGTGACATTTGCCATTCAGTCAATACAGCTCAGTGCACCTGAGCATAATATACAAGTGGCAGCCACATGCACATCCAGTTGTCCTAAACCAAGGAATAGTTTAGGGAAAAACAATAATTAGGCTTAATTAATTCCTTGTTCCATATGTGTACGCAGTAACTAAAGCCACAAATTCATCGACGTTTTTTTTTTTTAAGTGCAAAAGTACATTTTAAGTACATTATTGTCATAATGTGGTGACAGATGTCTGGTATGGAAGAGTAATATAGTAAAGAATTTAAAAATCCATTTCAAACAAACGGATGCTACCTGAGATTCTAAAATGGCATTAGGTGCTGCTACTTATCTACTTTAATGAAAGTGTGGGTTAATGTATGTATGTATGTATGTATGTATGTATGTATATATATATGTATATATATATGTGTTCCTTTTTCACATATTAAAGCTATTATTATTAAAGTATTTTTTTGCAAATGTAATTGAAAACAAATTAGATTAAAAAAAAAACAAGATCCTTATCCTGTTGTGTAAGCTTTGTGAATTGAGCCAAATGTCTACTGAAAGTCCTTTTTGACTAACAAAACTGTCTTTTCCTGCTTGTGTGGTTTACAGAGAGTGGTTCAGTGGCCAGTACCACCAGCTCCTCTGCAGGTTCTGGATTAAACAGCCTCAATAGCTGTAATCCCGTGGGGAGCTCCAGCTCAGCTGCTGACCAGGTGCGTCGATACAGGACAGCATTCACTCGGGAGCAGATAGGCAGGCTGGAAAAGGAGTTCTACCGAGAGAATTATGTGTCACGGCCCCGGAGATGCGAGCTGGCAGCTGCCCTCAACCTCCCCGAGACAACCATCAAGGTAAGAGACCTCACCATTCTCCTTACATTGTGCGTATCCCACTTCATCACTGGGACCAGTTAACAATTCGTGAAATTAATGAATAGTGCAGACGCCAGTTTTATAATGTGAGCATTCCAAAGTTGAATTTTACATCTGAACAATATCCAGTCCCAGGGGCATTCGTGTAACACTTCATACCAACTTTTAGGGCTAGGCCAATAAAATTATTTGAAAGGGAAAAAAACAGTTTTAAAAATAGAGTTTACAGGGAAGCAGTGAGCAAAAGAAAAAAAAAAAAAGCAGAGCTACAACCACTGTATGTATGTGTTTAATGTTCCAATGGAGATCAGAATTTCAAAACAAATGAATTGCAATCAAATAGAAAAGGGAGATTGAAGTAAACAATATAATATTGCAATGGAGACGCTTGTTAGTTGTGGGTGTAAGTGAATCTGAAGCAATAATTGGGAGTTTTGTATCATTTGCAAGGTGCATCGACATTTGTGCTGTCGGACACCAAGCAAGATCCAGGCTAGAAAATGTACATTCATTTGTAAAATGTAAACCATTCATCATGCATCAAAACAATAAGCACCGTGTGTTCTTAAATATACATCAGGAGTCTGTTTGAACATTGAAGTGTATATATTACCCAGATTCCAGTGAAATCAGTGACATTCTCTTCTAAATAAAACAATTGTATTTGATGCAAGTACTCATTATACTGCAGACCGTCAGATTTTAGAATTTTATCTCATAAATCTGTTATGTGTAACACTTTAGTTGGCGAAATAATGTTTTCACCTAGGTTATTTGATGTAAATATGTTTAGAGCAGCAGGTTATATGTAGCTTTTTATAAGTACTGTTATAAAGAATTGACGACTGCTTTATATTTCCTACATCTTCATAGAATAAACAGGATTGTATAAACACCTGTTTGTTTATATAGAGGAGAGTCGCCAAATCTCTATTGAATAGGTGTAACCTGCAGGCAATATATGGCGAGGGGAAAGGTAGCCAAACGTTTTGTATAATAATAAAATGAAGGCCTTTAGAGGTATGAGTAAAAAAACACAATAATGTTCGCATTTTGGAACAGCGAACTTGGGTAGCAGTGGGGTCATTTTAATGGGGCATGTTGAGCCAACGTGAAAGGTCATTGTCCTTCCAAAGGCCGATCTAAAATCCAGTACCAGCACAAAATAAAGAACAGGGGCCAGGCCAATCTATTGAAAGCATTTTTCATAGACGATCCGCAATTCAGAACGGAGGATGCTTTGACAGTTCTCCTATAAAGGACTTGACCACTTCCCCAGTGTTCTTATTGAGAAGCAGATGGCAAACGGCCCCATGGTCTCCGATTATGCCGTGTATCTGTCTTGTTGTCATGTGCTGAACACACACTATAGTAAAACACGTTTTGTTATGTATGTGTAATGGCAGGTGTGGTTCCAGAACCGGCGGATGAAGGATAAGAGGCAGCGTTTGGCCATGTCCTGGCCTCACCCGGCAGACCCCAGCTTCTACACCTACATGATGACACACGCCGCGGCCACAGGAAGCCTTCCTTACCCCTTCCATTCCCATGTGCCTCTGCATTACTACCCTCACATGGGAGTGACAGCAGCAGCGGCGGCGGCTGCAGCGTCCGGGGCAGCAGCTTCGCCTTTTGCAACCTCCATCCGGCCCCTGGACACTTTCCGCGCCCTATCACACCCCTACTCAAGACCGGAACTACTTTGCAGCTTCAGACACCCAGGTCTGTATCAATCCCCAGGCGGGATCAATAGCACCGCTGCTGCCGCGGCAGCTGCGGCTGCAGCAGCGGCAGCCTCTGCCCCGGGCTCCACTCCCTGCTCGTGTCTCAGTTGTCATAGCAACCAGACGGCGTCAGCTCTGGGATCGGCCAGCAGGGGCTCCGATTTCTCTTGCACGGCTGCCTCACAGAGGTCGGAGAGTAGCTTCCTTCCCTATTCTGCAGCAGTACTTAGTAAAACCTCTGTCTCCCCTCCGGACCAAAGAGAAGAAACCCCTCTGACTAGATAACTCCCCCCCCCCAGACAACTCCAAATAACCCCCAATGATGGCTGCAGAGAGGACTGATGATACAGCACCGATTAATGAGGGCGATATTTTCAGCGAATATTTTATTGACGCATTCATAATTAACCATGAGTGGGAACGAATGAAAACAATTATCCGATACGAATGAACTGAAAAGGGGTCTAATCATATCCTCACGATATAATGTCACACCATATGAGAAATTTGGGCTGGTTTTAATAAAATTGAGACCATTCAGTCAAAGAAGAGGGAAGATTCACATCAATTATCTAATCATGTGCGAATAAAATAAACAGGAATTAACTTTTCACGTGATTAGATAAACGACATTCATCTTCACTCCTTTTTTTTGAGTGAACTTTCTCAACTCCTTTTGTAAATCGGCCCAATTGACTTATATAGCTGGATTTCTTTTCTTAAACTAAACCATTAGTCAACCGAAAAACACAACAACGGTTTCTGTTTGTTCTTGGTTTATTGGTGAGTTACAAACTTGTGTTTTACTCAATATTGGCCTTATTTTGTAGGCTGGTCGCTATATAAATATATATAAATATATCAAATTGTATTACTTTAACTATTTTGTATCTGGAAAATACTTGAATCTAAAGAAAGGACATGCATCATGGCATTTCAGTGGGGCGTGTACTTTTGTCTCAGAGCTGACCTAGGGACCATGATTAATTGTAGATCACATCAACGCCAGGTAAATCCGCCAGACCCATGCTTTGCTACCACTGGGTAACACAAATCTGCTTTCCCAGACCCCAGTTCCTGCAGGGAGTTTCCTGAACTTTGAAAAGCACATCACAAACTAGCAGTGTTATTGCCATGTCACTTCTGATGCTAATAATGTGTAGATTATGACGAAAATTGCCAATCATGTTCTCTGATGGACCTCCTTTGAATGTAGAATTGGAGGAAAGTTCCCCGCATAGAGACCTGCTGTCAAGTACTAACAACCCGCTAAGGGAAGTCATTAGGAGAGACAGATAAGAGGCTTGGTACATAAAACATTGTTCTTGGTGCATAGGATGTATGTTATTTAATGCTTAGATCTGTTACCTGAAATTATTTCGCTGAAGAAAGCCCAGTCCCTATCATCAAAATTGCCAATTTTCATTTTGGCTGCTCGGACACCCTGGGCAGACTTTTCTCCTTAAAGTTGATATTCCACTAGTGTGAACAGCCTCATTAAATCAAACCTACATATTTCCATAATGCTCCCCGCAGAGCCACTTCACTTCTCACATAATGAGATCTTCTCAAGGGCTGCAGCAGTTGGAGGAAACTCACAGTTGCATGCTCAGGGCCAAAGCGAGTCTATTTATATATCTGTATCATGCGTGCTTCTGCAAATTTTAACATCTCATAATAATTTCCCACAACTTAGGACAAAATGAGACAGACCTGAGAAAATACAGTTACAGGAAGGGCCACAACCATACACTGGAAACCTTGAGCCCCCATCAATTCCACTAGTCATAGCGATTTTGGTTGGCCCATTAAGGGAAATTATTTAATTTTCTTTATATTATTTTCTTTCTTGGAGGCTATAAATATCCCTCAAAGGGCCCTTGGGCATGGTTTACTTGAAAAAAATGTTTTTCTTTCAAAGTATCTATGATACGGTCGTGTACATTATAATCTGTCAATCAAAGCGAGTTTAATTTTATGAAATGTATAATTTATTAATTGAGAAAGTCTGGCACTGTTATGCAACATCCACATTTTGTTCCGGCTGTCACCCGATTTCTTATCATGGATGTAAATAATATATTTTTTTGGGGCAATAATGTTTACAGATTCGGTGGCGAATAAAAGAACGATTGTTAGTAAGGTGTACGCAGAAAAATATTTTATGTTGGGTCAGCTGGACCTCCATGTTTGTGTAAATACGTCTGTACAAAACTTGTGTTTTACATTCGTTGTCTGAATTCACTGTAATATAGTTAAAAAATGTGCACTAATGACTAAAGCTTTGTATATTATGTTATTTATTGTGTTTGGTGATGAAAAAAATAAATATTATTTAAACGGAAACGTTTTTATTTCCCGCTTTAATAAGAGTAAAGAAAGATGCATTTGGAAACACACATCCCTTATACCAAAACGCATATTTTTTTTTAAGCTGCTAGGGGATATCTTATAAGCAAAGTAGCCTGCAGAAATAAATATTATAAGCTATACTTTTGCCAGAATGAGATGTACCTCTCGCCCCTATGTAGGTATTCATATATATAACCCGTAATCTAAACTTATAACATTGCTCATGTAAACTGAAACAATGCAATAGCTAAAATGGTCGTAGAAACGGTGACACTACCACAACACATCCCCTGAAGGATACCACTGCTGGCAAAATCGATGTTACAGCACTGAGTGCCAGAGTCAATGGTGTGTGCAAAAGAGTCTGTTTCTATTCGATTTAACCAAGATGTCCTCACATAAAAAATTCTTTACCAACTGCTCAGGCTGGCATTAATTACAACGATGCTAAACTGCAGGGAATACAACGGCTGCTATCACAGCCATCCTGGCCCTGTAATTTACCATTATTATTGCATTAACTCTAAATGATACAAGCTGATACATCCTTTAATTGCAGTTTAGTTAAATATATACTGGAGTGCTCCCCGGGGGATATTGTTTTAGATAAGCCCCCACCTCCCCTTCTCCAATGTATCTATTAAAGGAATAGGGATGTTACAGCACATTTGGATCAGTGATGTATCACCGTGTTTTCAGTGCTCTTCACTAACACGAGAGGTTGTAACCCTTAAAAAACAAAAAGCATTGAGATAGATGGCAGGGCAAACAGAAAAAGACAGTGGCCAAAAGCCCCTATCCAAAATAACAGGATCATTTTTTCCACTTAAAAAAACAGGGGACTGATGCATCATAAGAGGCGCAGACTGTCCATCATCAACCCCCCGATTGTTTTTGACACGAAAATAAATCTGCTGGTTTGTTGAATATATTTGTATATTTTCTTTATTTCAACGCTAATAGAAAAACCAAATTAAATGTCCACCAGCTAGATAAGAATACAAAGATCGATGATCCACCCCCTACTGTCCAATCACCCCTATTTAATTGACTTTATTTTCTGGGTAATTGAACTGCCCGTTGTAAATTGAAGATTTTATAGAAACGACATGAAAACTACATTTACTGACATTCATCGCATCTTTGACATTGATTATCTGATCAACGCATGTCATGCTAACCTCCAATTCTTCATTACACACTGTTTATGAGCTGTTACAGAACAACTTGCTTGTTCCAGGGTGATTGATTGCCTTATTAACGCGTGTTCTTGTAAGTGTGACCGAACTGATTACGATGCATATGTTTAGAATAATGTTTCATTTAGCTGACTGCGAATAATGCAGGGTGACAGCTGCTGCAGGGAGGACAAAAAAAACCCTGATCTACGGGACGCGTTTGGGACCAAAAACCCCCACTTGTTTAAGGTGGATCCGAGCTCAGCTTTACAACAATAGCACAGGCTAGGCTTTGCGAGGGTTTTTGTTTCTTGCCAAGCATAAGAAAGGGAAACATAGTAAATTGTTTTAAATTAAAATGTATATGTTGTACCCAAGCAATGCTAGAGTTGCCCATAGAAGCATTCTGTTTACTACATGCAAACACAAGCACTGAAGCTCTATATTGCCTGAATACAACGTTGCTGCCTATATGGGATGTATTCTGCACACATAAGGTTCAATTTACAAAGCTAAAACTCCAGGCTAAGGACCCTAATTAAAAAAAGTGACAGTTCAGGTGAGAGTTGAAAATTACAGTCACCTGGCTAAAATAAGAATCCTTATTCTGTTGTGTTAACTTTGTGCATTGAACCTATAGAGATCACTCATGGATGCAACCACTGTGCACAGTGGCAGAATGCTGTATACAGATCATGCTGGTCCTTCCAGAGACCCCAATCTGTGAAGAGCTGGAGTTCAAAAGGAAGCCACAAAGGCCATCCATCCATAGCACAGTCCTCCAATGACTCGTCTTTATTGTAAAGTCGATAGACGATGTTTCTCAGGAATTGAGGAGGTTGACTAATATCTCTATAATTCCCCATCAGCTTTTATGAAAAACTTCAGTAGTTTAGAAAAAGTTCTTCAGAATACCAAATCGAGAATATAACTTAACCCAAGTGAGTGATATACATTACTGGGTGCGACTGGAACACCACATCATTACATTGGATCACTCACTACTTGGAAATGGCAATGGTCAGCCACATTTCTCTATTAGTTTTGTTGACACAGGTGTGGAATCCAGTTCCTACAGTCATATTATATCATCTTTTTTTGACTGGGCTGGGAAAATAATATTTCGAAATATTTACCTCCCTGACTCATCTCCTACATGCCTCACCTTAAACACACAGCAAACTTTTGGTAAATGACCTTCTATATATCCAAGGCACAAAGTAATAGTGACAAACAATCATACTGCCTGACAAACTCACCAGTGGTATCTGATCGTGAGATGTAATGCTTGTGTTTGGTAGTGTGTATCTCTTTTCCCCCCTTTCAGTGTAACACTGATTTAAATAAAGACATCCAAGAAACATTATTTACAAGCTCCCATAATTTACCTATACTATTTGGCAACGGAACACCAAAAGTAAATTAATAAAATACTTCATAACTGCCGCTAGAACAGACTGGCTCCTGTAATGAAGAAAAGATTTATGTCAGACTATTCCAGTCCAAATAGCAGCAGCTTCTGTTTGTCTCAGCCCAGTGCCTCTATTTAAATGTTACTTTCATATATTATGTGGCATTAATTTAACTATAGCTCATTAAAGCAGAATGAAATGGTTAAATTAACTTATCAACCCATAATGATGATGAATGAGGTATTAATTCAGATACAAGCCGGGCAATTTGCAAGTTTACGCATTCTGATGGCTCTCAAATAACATTTTGAATAGCGGGTCAGCGCCTCAATCAATTACACAA